TGTCCTTTGATCTCCTTACTCATGTGCAACATAAGGTGACCTCTGGTCCCCTTCTAATATTCAATTAAAGGTGACCTCTGGTCCCCCTACTGATATACATTAAAAAAATGGCCCCAGGTCCCCCTACTGATGTACAATATAAGATGTTCTCTGGTCCCCCTTCTGATTTTAAATATAAGATGACCCTGGTCCCCCTGCTGATATACAATATAAAATGGGCCTCTGGTCCCTCTACTTATGTACAATATAAGGTGACGTCTGGTCTCTCTTCTGATGTTAGATATAAGGTGACCTCTGGTCCCCCTTCTGTTGTTAGATATAAGGTGACCTCTGGTCCCCCTTACTGATGAACAATATAAGGTAGCCTCTGGTCCCCCTACCGATGCACAATATAAGGTGACCTCTGGTCCTCCTTCTGATGTACAATATAAGGTGACCCTTGGTCCCCCTGCTGATGTACAATATAAGGTGACCTCTGGTCATCCTACTGATGTTAAATATAAGGTGACCTCTGGTCCCCTTACTTATGTATAATATAAAGTAACCTCTGGTCCCCTTACTTATGTACAATATAAGCTGACCTCTGGTCCTTCTGCTGATGAACAATATAAGATGACCTCTGGTCCTACTACTGATGTACAATATTAGGTGTCCTCTGGTCCCCTTATTGATGTTCAATATAAGGTGACCTCTGATCCCTCTACTGATGTGCAGTAAAATATTAGGTGACTACTAGTCTCCGTACTCATGAAAAATATCGGGTGCCCTCTGGTCCCCGTACTGATGTACAATATAATGTGTCCTCTGGTCACCCTACTGATGTACAATATAAGGTGAACCCTGGTACAACAGCTGATGATCAATATAAAGTGACCTCTCATCCCCTTACTGATGTACAATATAAGGTGACCTCTAGTCCCCTTTCTTGTGTTAAATATAAGGTGTCCTCTGGTCCCGCTACAGATGTACAGTACAATATTAGGTGACCACTATTCCCCGAACAATATAAAATGACGTCTGGTCATCCTTCTGATGATAAATATAAGGTGACCTCTGGTCCCCCTACTGATGAACAATAAAAGGTGACCTAAGGTACCCCTGCTGATGTCCATATTTAACTTCTGGTCATCCTTGTGATGTTTAATCTAAGGTGACCTCTGGTCCCCCCTACTTTTGTACAATATAAAGTGACTTCTGGTTCCCCCTACTGATGTTCAATATAAGGTGAACTCTGTTTCTCCTACCGATGTACAATATCAGGTGTCCTCTGGTCCCCCTACTGATGTACAATATAAGGTGTCCTCTGGTTCCCTTATTGGTGTACAATATGAGGTGACCTCTGTCCCCTTTACTGATGTACAGTACAATATAAGGTGACCACTAGCCCCCGTATTAATGTAAAATATCGGGTGACCTCTGGTCCCCGTAATGATGTACAAAATAAGGTGTCCTCTGGTCCCCCTACTGATGTACAATAAAAGGTGACCCCTTTCCCCCCACTTATGTACAATATAAGGTGTCCTCTGGTCCCCCTACAGATGTATAGTATAAGGTGTCCTCTGGTCCCCCCTACTGATATACAAGAGAGGACCTCAGTTCCTTCTGCTGATGTACAATATAAGATGACCTCTGGTCCTACTACTAATGTAAAATATAAAGTGTCCTCTGGTCCCGCTACAGATGTACAGTACAATATTATGCGACCACTAGTCCCCGTACAATATAAAGGGACCTCTGGTCCTTCTGCTGATGTACAATATACGATGACTTTTGGTTTTACTACTGATGTACAATATAAGGTGACCTCTGGTCTCTCTACTGATGTACAGTACAATATTAGGTGATAAATAGTCCCCGTACTAATGTAAAATATCGGGTGACCTCTGGTCCCCGTATTGATGTACAATATAAGGTGTCCATTGGTCCCCCTACTGATGTATAGTATAAGGTGTCCCCCCCCCCACTGATGCACAATATAAGGTGCCCTCTGGTCTCCCTACTGATGTACAATATAAGGTGTCCTCTGTTCCCTCTACTTATGTACAGTACAATATTAGGTTACCTGTAGTCCCCCTACTGATGTACATTATTGGGTGACCTCTGGTCCCCCAAATGATTACGATTTAAGGTATCCCCAGGTCCCCCTATTATGTGCAATAAAAGATTACCTTTGGACCCCTATTGATTTAAAATGTAAGGTGACCTATGATCCCTCTGATGATGTACAATATAAGGTAACAACTGGTCTCCCTAATAATGTTAAATATAAGGTGGCCTCTGGTCCCCCTACTGATGTGCAATGTAAGGTGATCTATGGTCCCCCCTATTGATGTAAAATATTAGGTTACCTCTGGTCACCCTTTATTATTATATATATTAGAAAGTTTATCTTTATAAAGTTATAAATATGATTATTTTGGAGTAAGACAAAGAAAATTGTCTATCATATAAAATTCAATTAATATATATGGTGACCTAAAGTCTCCGTATTATCGATGAATTTACTTTTGTGCCTTTAATGCCTGGAGAGTTCCTAGAATGTTTTATTACTACGCAAAATGACGAACTATTTGCGGGGGACCCCAGGTCCTAGTTCAGCGTACGTTTTATCCTTCTGCGTTTTAAATAATGAAGGGAGATTTGTGTCAAGTCCATAGCAGCACTAAAGCTTGGTTTGATGTAAATATTTATCGATAGGAGTGCCATTCAAAACGTTTCACCCGTTCAGAGAACAATAAAATGCTGACGACTTTGTTGCAAAGTGACATGTTGGTGAGATAATTATGTATCCGTATTCAAAAGTAACTGTCTGTAATTGTAAATTATTTTCCTCCTACAGGTTTAAAACTGCCCATGGTAGCTATTGTCAGAGACATTGTTTAGGTTTCTGTCATAGCTTACAGTCTTAGCATCATTCTTCAGAAAAGGGTCGCTTATGCATCAGATGTAATGAATAAAATTATGGGAGAAGTTAAGTCCATTTGAGGAAGAAATAAACAATAGTCTTAAGAAATAAAATATTTCAAACTATTTAAAAAGAAGAATATACAAATATATACAGGCATGTAGTATCGTTTATGGCAGCCTGAAAAATTAGTTTACACTTAATTGAAAAAAATTCCACCCTACTCCTCAATACTCCTTGGGAGTACTCCCTGTCTGTTTTATAAAAGGAATTATTACTTTTATAGGTCTCGAGTATATTAATATTTTAGAATAATTTCTACCTAACACACATTAAAAACAAAAATAAAGATATATTAAAAGAGATTTAAAAAATTGATTTTTTAAAAAAAAATCTGTATTTTGTCCAACATCAAAAGATTTATTTCACTGCCCCCAACTGGTAGATGATGAAATAAACAATTAAAGGTTGTATTTTCCCCTTTGTAACCCTTATTTGTCCAGTGGCAAGAAGCCTGTTAGGAGAGCATAAACAAAGAAGCAAAAATTAATGTAGAAAAGTTGATAATGTATCCAAAATATAATTTTATTATTTTTTTATTTCCTCCTCCTAACGGACTTTTTCATTCAGATGTTTGTTAACCTAAAAATAAAAAAAATGCAGGCCTTAACAATGCTTTACTTTGTCTTGGTATTAAGATCAAGTTATTTTTTCTTCTTCTTTCCTTTGTGATATCTTTTTTATATTTGTTCAACGTATGCTTATTATATCCATTAAGAGTATGTATGCCAATATGTAGACATGTAGCAACAGTTGTTTTATCCACTGAAATTCTTCAAACTTTATCTTTGAATTTAATGATAAAATATAGGGAAAATTAGTTGATCTCCAAAAATTTTCAGGAAATGCGAAGGAAAGCACCTACTATGATTTTTTTTTTATTGAAAGTTGATCAGCAAATACATTTAGTATGAAAAACTATTGGTATTCAGGATTTTGAAGAAAATTGCTGATTTTTTTTATTTTAACTGTGCATCCGTGTCTTCTGATTACTAAATCATTTTATACTGATTTAATTTTAAATTTAATGAAAGCTTCACTTACAGACATTTTGAATAAACTATGAATTAAAGAGTTATCCTTCTTGACGACGAATCGGACTACCTTAAAAAAATACATAGGGTGACCAGTATGAAGTGCTCGATAAGGTTCTTTTTATATACGTATACAGACAATTGCCATTGTACAACGTTACCGCTTACTTTTCTCGGGTTTCCCCTATTAAAACTAGATCAAAGTTACTTTTAATTTCTTTTGTAATTAGTTATGAAAACACAGTGATATATAATTTTATCACTTTTTAAGAAAAACCATTGAATCTAAATTAACTAGTGTCAAATACTGTATGCGTAGCTCAGCATAATTATCACGCCGAGCTTGACCTAGTTTGTCACCTCAGGCAATTGACCGCTTATAATGAAAACAAATTACAAGAGGGCAATTATTTTAATCATATCTTTCACACTTTACATAGTTTGAATAATCTTACACATTGTAGATGGTCTGTATAAAAATTCAACGCTGCCTTTGTATCCCCGTGAATTCAAAGATACATAACTCTTGATTAAATATTTCGTCAAAATTAACACTCGTCAATTTTCGTAAACAAGAAATCGTCAATTTTTCAACTCGTCAATATAACCACGTTTATAGTACCCTTGACTTGGCAAACATGAGAATCACGATTCTACTTTCAGGCCGAAGTTTCCAAGAATTTCTTTTTTCTTCCTGGTGTAAAATTAAGAATTGACCGATCTGTCTGATAAGAATTTACATATAAAGAGTCCCATATGTAGATAAGGCTGATTAAAGTCTCCCTTTTCTTTCAGTTTATTGTGGCAAGTGCATTGTATTTTATATACTCTTAGGCCTAATTGCTGATACTTCTTGCAAAAGAGCAATATAAAACCTTCAATACTCTTTCATTTAAAAGAAAAAAAATCGCTTTTTAAAGTTTCAAATCGCTCATTTATTTATTTCACATATAAATATTAATTAGGGAATTTCATATGTACATTGTAATGCAGACTTTTTATCGAGTAATGAAAATGACTGGAATGACCATTATCTTCATTTCGGCAACGGTTCTGGCAGGTAAGTGGAATCCTCTCAAAAATTTTGTTTAGCATTTGATTTAGGTTGCGAATCAAAATGCATCAAACCAAAGGTGTCCAGATTTTATCTGTAAAGGCCTTCATTCCTATATTAACATGTAAATATAATCATGCAATTTGTTTAAAATTTAGAGAACTGAGATATAAAATAAGTAAAAATCTGATGTTCATCTATTTTTTTCTAAACGCTTTTGTGAAATGTTTAAAGTATTATTATTCATAGCATTTTTTATTTGAACTTAAGGTTTTATTAAGCCTAAATTATGCTTGATATGGCGTGATTGCTATGTAGAGGATCATTATTTTGTTCCCGGTATAGTTTTTTATTTTTTCAGTCTTATGGTCGTTGCTTACTAGTTTTCGAAAAAATAATTGACAAACCATAACAATTGATCTTTCCTTTGAGACAATAGTTTTAAATACGAAGTATAAAAGAAAGTTTGAGTTTTTGACTTTGTGTGCTTTAAAAGTCTAATAATTTCAAAAAGTTCTGAAATTAGCTTGAGTATGAGCCTGGTAAATAAAGCTCATAAAACATGAAATTATGTCATGAAAAAGATAAAATGGCGTCATTCAGTTCTATCAGAAAAGTCCCAAATTGACTTTGTTTTAGTTCTTTCCTTGGCTCTCCAACTTAGATTTTTGGATATGTTGTGTCCAATTATCTTAAAAAAAAAAAAACCACATTTCTCAAAATTGTTTTGTTAGATCCCTCCAATTATATCTTATATCCACGAGTTTTTCTACAGTTTTATAAGTGGTAAGATATTTAAATTGTACTAGAGTTATTGTTATTAATTTTATACTAGTATTTGTATTTTTAGTGAGTGGAAAAACCTTTAATAAGTGCGAACTGGCAAAGGAATTAGCAAGACACGGCGTAGCCCATGGTGATATTGCTAATTGTAAGTGAATATAATTAATTAACCATAGCAAAATGTTGTTTTTTTTTCTCAAAAAAGCAATGTCTGATTAACCAAGGAAATATCATTAGTTGTTTTTCTTAAGGAACATAATTAAATCCTTACTGAACTGCTAAATGTAAGTGAATTTTATGTTAAAAAAAATGGTTTGCCACCTAGTGGCGTTTGAAAAATTACCCACTTTGAAAATTTTTTTCAAAGTGCGTTAAATTTGGGACCAATTCAACGCACTTTGAAAAAATAAAATTTCTTTTCAAAAATGTGTATGGCTTGGTCAATATTCTTGAAAATTATAGGTATGAAAAATAATTGAACCTGTTAGATAACTCTTTGGTGATAAGGTCACTTCAGGATGTGAAAGCGATCGAGTGGTTTTGATTTTTCCATACTTTGAAAATTCTTTCTCTCTTAAATGCTTTTACTGTACTTTATTCTTTTTCCAGTTTGCATACATTTAATGTAAACTAAAAATTATTTAAAGTTTTCAACGTCACACCAGTTATGCAAATACATTTATTTGGGTGTAGCATAGGCATCGGTACCCGCGGGGGGTTAGTTACAAAAATGTTTTGCAAAGATATACATAATATAGGCATTAAGAATTGGGCCTTACATGGGGGGTCCACTTTCAATTTGCTACTGACGGCCGGCTATGTATAAGGAAAGAAAATGAGTCGGACTGAGCGACCTTCTATATACTCATCTTCTCCTTGTTAAATTTTCAATGAGACTAAATCAATACATGTAAATTAAAAAGTTTTTTCGGAAGATATATTTATTACAAATTGATTCTCTCTATTACTAAAATCTATCTAAGTCTAGAATTTTATATTTTTTTCAAAGTGCGTTAAATGTCCACATAGTAAAAAATGTTGATGTACATTCTTAACGCACTTTGAAAAAAAATTTCAAAGTGCGTTGATTTTGTCCCAATTTTAACGCACTTTGAAAAATTTTTTCTAAGTGCGTAATTTTTTCAAAGTGCGTTGCCACATGGCGTCCAATTGGATGAATATCAATTCAATGTAGTATTCATTATGATTATTAATGCTTTTTTTATTGTTTCCCGCATGGTGCAGTTATAGAGCGTCTGCTCTGGAGCCCTTGTATTAAATGAGCGACTGATTTCGGTAAAAACAGAACAAATTGTTTAACAAAATTTTAAATAGGCTTCACTAAAAACACATCAGTATTTGTAAAACCCTTTTGATATTCTTTATGTTCCTTTTATTTAGATGTCTGTATGGCAGAACATGAGTCGGGATTTAACACACACATAAGAAGTGCTGCAAATTCTGATGGAACACACGACCATGGAATTTTCCAGATAAATGATTTTTGGAATTGTGATCCTCAAATTGGACTTCCCACCATGAATGGCTGCAATCATCCCTGCTCGGGTACCGTATGGATATGGATATGCAGATTTTATTTGAAAAATGAAATATGTCAGAAAGGACAATATGCAACTAATATCAAGAAAGAATTATAATTCTAAAAATAATAACTCTATTTAAGTCATTCTCTGATAGATTTCAGAAATGACGATATATCTGATGACATCAGGTGTGTACAACAGCTGAAGAGAGAACATCATGGATTTGGATTTTCGTAAGTTTTAATGGATTTCTGGTAGTTTCACCCCCCCCCCCGAAAATTTCAAAACCTGCAGACTAGTTCTGTACATGTAAGACATAACTGTACTCTTTCCATTTGAGTGGATGTTTTCAACATTTTTAATTAAGCTAAGTTTGAATAAAAAAATTCTAACCATCTACTAAATCAGATGATTGCTTCACGTTATACATGTTCATGTACAAGCCGATCTACAAAATCATTACTCATCAAGTATTATAGATATTGAATTACATAGGCATAATACATGTAAACTGACATTCTTAGCTCACCTCAACGAAGTTATGGGGAGCTTATGTGATACCCTCGGAGCACAGGCACTTGTTTCGGGAATAAATTTTTAACCCTAGTATAATTATACTATGGGTAAAAGTATTATTTCCCGAAACAAGTGTCTGTGTCTCGGAGACGGCCTCGATGTCGTGCCGGCGTCCTTGGTTGAGGTTTTTGGTGCAGTTTTATTTTTAAGTACTTCTATGCCCTTCATTGATTCGACATGCATGGAAGATGCTTTGAGTGTGTTTCATTGTACCAGATAAGGTTTCAAATGCTGCAATTTCAGCAAAGGAATGACCAGGTTAATGATTTTGAAGCAGGTTAGGGTTTTTGATGCAGTTTAAAGTTTTTGCTGTAGGTCTTATTACGAAGTAACTATACGCCCCCTTGCTCACCAAACCTGCATGAATGATAGTTTTTACTTCGGATGCTGGGTCTAACCTTTATCTTCCGGATGATTTTTTGGTGCAGGTCTCTTTTTCAAGTAACTTTGAGCCCATGATGACCAAACTTGCATGGATGATAATCTAAGAATATACACTAATAGACTTGCTTCGGATGCAGAATCCTATATTAACCAAACTTGCATGGATGATGCATCAAGGGAGGAACACTCTCAAACTTGCTTTAGATGCTGAATTTGAATTACATTTTCTTGAATGGCGACTAGTTTGAAGTTCTTGGATAAGTGTATTACTAAGTAATTGCGAGCCGTTTCAGTTCAAAATTGCATAAATTTTGCATTTTGGTATGTAAACTTCTAGATTCTTACTTTAATGTGTTACTTTGCCCTATTTAACAACAAGGTGAGCTATGTAATCTCAGATTACCTTTGTTTTATGTTCTTTTTTGCAGGCATTTCTCTTGAAGAGATTATCAAAAATAATTTAAAAGCTTCAATATTTTTACTGTCTCAATAATAAATACTTTTCTTTTTTATTGATCTTCTTTTATAAATTGTTAAAAAAAATCGGAAAATTAGAAAAAAAATTAACCGAAGTTAAATTCATAACACTTATTAAAATAATACAGTTATTTAATTAATTCTTTTTATTCTTCTTCAGTTATGCCTGGAGAGACTACTGTCAGCACATAGACTCGAACTATCTCAGAGGATGCTCTTATTAAGAGGATTTCATCTATCACTCCTCTGAAATATATTTATGTCAAATACTGTACCTAGAATATGTTCTGAAAAAGTATAACTTTTATCAATCCAACATTCTGAAAGAAATGCAATATCATACTTTCGAATAACTTCAACAATATTCTTATCATAAATCTATCTTATTTACAATCGACCTTTTCACATTCGCGGGCACTTGGGGGCTGCCCCCCCCCCCCCTCTTTATTTTTTCTTCTTTTTTGTCAATCTGGGATGTCGACACACCTTTTCTTCTATTTTGGTAGTCTAATAAGCATCTCTTGATATCGATAATGAAACCCTTTTGTCTTTATCAGCAGTTTTTAAATATATCGTTTTCGACTGATGGACTCTCCATGACCCCCCCCCCCTCCTATTCCCCCGGTCAGTTGGCCTGTTCAAGCACAGCATCGATATATGCCTGATATTTGAAATCGTGCGACATTTGGTCTTAATTTACCTCTTTGAAATCTGACAAATCTTTGTACGAATGTATACGAATGTATAGATGTCCCTGGAATCTCAACAACACAAACAAATAGCTCTTGATTGGCCATTATCGTCATATCTCTTTAAGACATTCAAATATGAAACAGATGTAACAGGCTGTTTCGGTGTCTTTTATTTCGAGTTCACTGGAATGTTTCTAGTCGACGTTTGAATGGAAGAAACAATTGTTAATTGATGAAACAGTGAAAAGAGGACGAAATATCTGAATGTCGAATTGAAGGCCATAGCAAATGGTTTCTTTTCATGTATTGAAGATATTGAATAAAATAAAAAAAACCACAGTTCAGCAAATGAAAAAACACAATTAGCACCCATTTTAAATTCAATTTTCAATTAACAATAGTTACTTCCATTCATAAGTCTAGTCTTACTGAACTTAAAGATAAAAGATACTACAGGGTCTGATACAACTGTTTCTTATTTTGAATATTTTACTACAAAAAGACGCTAACGGTTAAAACTTTATGAAGGATATGAAGAAAACGAACAGTATTCAATATCAAAGTCCATAAAACAATACAAAACAGGAGCAGAGCAAACACGGACCTCCAAAACATCAGAAGTGGGATCAGATGCCATGGAGGAGTCAGCATCCCCTGCTGACCTGTCACACCCGCCGTGTGCTCCTTGTCATGATCGGGAAATAACGGAATAATCCGTTATCAATTCAGTGTATAGATAATGGACTAACAATTAGTTTGACAAACGTCAGTCAGCATTTGACTCAATAATAAATTGAATTTGCTGAAAAGGTCAATGTATCGACCATAAGACTTACGAAATTATGACTTTAATCGAGACTGCTGATATTCTTGTTTCGTCGACTTGTTTGTCAATGATTTACCTCGTTTTAGAAATTGTTAATACATAGAGCATGCTCTTGCGTATCGAATCAACTGAGAGACATAAACTCCGTATGCAGGTGATGAAGGCATATTGCTGTATAAGTAAGGGAAGTTGACTATATATATATATATTGAAAAGTTAAAATCTTCACGTTTATCACAGAGCATGGTTCTTAGATTACCATTAATTAACGTGTTTTTCAAGTAAAATATCCAAGTATGAAACAGATGTGTCAGACTCTGTGGTATCTTTTATCTCAAGCTCACCGGGATATATCGTATCGACAAAAGAATGGAAATAACCATTGTAATAGCATCAAAAAGTTTTTCTAAAAGCTTACATGGATTATCAAAACCGATAATTCTTTTCAATTTTAACCATGCTTTTCTAGCCTTTTCAATAAGCAAAGCTGTTGCTGAATTAAACTTCCTATTATATATCATCATAATACCTAAATAGCAGTATTTTGATACTATTTGTGTAATAATAATAAGTCGAAGAATATTCTGGTTTCATAATTTATATGTCAACAATTATTGGTTCTTAAATTAATATAAAACATACAATAACAGTAGAATGGTACAATAAAATATAATAGTAGATATACATATGAATCATTATTCAAATAGTGTCATAAATAAATATTTCACTCTATGGAATTTAATACACTTTACATGTATAAAGGGCAACAACTCTTACAAGCTTAATCTTTAAAATTGCTTTCCACAATCGTGAAGAGTTATCGTTCATATATATCCAAAATAATAAAACCGTAATGCATACCGGTTTATGGAACCAAGTCCATCTGACATACTGCATGGGGCTTTTCAGATTTGGTGTTACACTATATTAATAATAAATACATTCCTAAAGATATGCTCTTTACAATAACTCTGTATTTACACCAAAATATTTCTTATGAAAATATTTACTTATATCTTACTATATTAAACTTATAATAGAAATATCAGATTTATACACATCTGATCTCATCATAAGTATAAAATATTATATACACATAACTTAAATTAACAAGTGTCATATTATTAGTTTCTCATGTATATCATATTCTAACTAATTAATATAGATGAAAATGTTAAAATATTAGTACTTACATGTCTGTGTCTTGTCCAGAAAATGTCAGGAATATAAATAATGCAGATTTCATATATTTCAGTAATTCACCAGATTTAGCTTTCTACATGTCTAAGACTCTGAGATCTTTCAAACTGAGTAATAATCACTCTGGACAATGTAAAACCCCTTAGTAGTAATAGAAAGACTTTAGATTTTAATTTATTTAACTATCTTAAATTTATTTTATTTATTTATCATTTATCAAATTACTTACTAAAATATACATCTACTACATTTGTATTGTATTGCCATTAAAACTAAATTCATTCCCTTGAGGGCAGCTGAGGCTTGCCATTTGAGTTAAATGTCATTACTTTCGATTTATCTACATTAACCTGTAGTTTCCGGTTTGAACAATAGTTAATAGTACTGAGAATATCAAGACTGGTTTGTAAACCACTTTTGCTTTCAGAGAATATTGCAATATCATCAGCATATTACAGACAATTTACATGAATATTATTTACCTGCATAGGATCACATTTTCCATTTTTTAAGTCATTGACAATACATGTACCATCAATAAATACATTAAAAAGTGTGGGGCTTAAGACATCCCCTTGTTTGACAGCACACTCAGCATTCTCAGAATTGAAAACATCACTAAATCCATCAGAAAATTTAATTCTACTCATAACATTGCATTTCTATGCATAGAAAATAAAATAAAACATAATATATACTTGACATAAATTAATTATAATTCTGTTCTAGTACATAAAGTCCAGGTATATATCTTCATGGTTGAACTGCGTATTGTAACGTTCTTACAATGTACAAATGATAAATGATTGAGTTCGCTTAGGTTTCCTTCCTAAGAATTACGTTATAATATAGAATCAAGCAAACTTACGTCAACTTCCTGCAGACGAAACAATGACAATGACAAATATAAAATCTGGATTGGCAAAAATAGACAAACTCGTGTTATAATATATTTTTCCTCGGTCCTACCTGGATAATGATTAGCATACAAATATGAACTTAACGACAACGAATTATAAGAAAAGAATCAACCACAATTAAACCAATAATCAGATATAAAGTTATGACACTGTAGTTGCAGACTGAGTGGTTTAACCAACAATCCTGTTGTTTCCCGACACAGTCTGCAACTACCTAAAAAAAAACACACCCTAAAAGTCACAGAGACACCTTTTATTAAAAGTCACCAAGACACTATTTTAAGTCACCAAGACACTATAGTCACTGAGACACACTATTAAGGAACTAGGTTCCTGAGCTGAGTGGTTTAACTAACAATTCTGTTGTTTCCCGACACAGCCCAAGAACCTAGCCCGAGAGGTGTTACTCAAACGATGAGTAACGACCAAGTAACCAAATACTTCATGGGTGTCTGTATTTATACTCTTTCTAATTCCTAATGATTGGTTGATGATTCTGAAACTCTGATTGGTTAAAATATCAAGCCCTGATTGGTTAAATATAAAATGATTCGATTGGTCGATTTCACAAGCATTTCAATCCACCATCAATATTCTATATCATTACATTACCCACGCCTTCGAAAAAAATTATGCGTCCTCGCATAGGTAAACAAGAGTATAACAAAATAAAAAACATTGAACTTTAAAACTGCAGTAGTATTTCCTACCCAACTCATTTTAATTTACATTTTCAGAAAGAGACATAATCACTAAGGTAGGCTGGTCTGCTTCTCTTTCGTTTGCCATCTGCCTGAAAACACTCCTTTTCATATGTTTCCTCAGCATCTTCAGGAATGTACAATTTAACATCTTTCTGCAATCCTGGCCAATAGTATTTACATTTTATCTTCGCCAATGTTTTCCTTATCCCAAGATGTGCAGAAGTCCTTTCATCATGGAACTGTCCTAATACTGTTCGTCTTTCACTGTATGGCACAACAGCTTGCAAAGAAATTTTGCCATTTTCGTGCTTTTTCTTTCGGAAAAGCATTCCATTCTCTAATACCAGAGCATCCCACTGAGAACATAGAGACTTAATGAAGTTGCTATGACCAGAAATCGCTGATGACTCTGGCTTTACACCTTTTTCAACCCATTTGATCAGTTGATTTATGTCTCGGTCCTCGTTTTGTTTGGTTTTCAAAGACAACTTATCCGTATGTGTTGCGCTACTTATGGTATTAACTATACTTTCAGAAGATGTACAACATGCTTTTCTGCAAGGTAAACGGCTGAGCGCATCGGCATTTGCATGCTTATTCCCTGGTCTGTGTTCAATGGTCATTTGAAAATTGCTCAGTGATTCAAACCATCGAGCAAGCTGGCCTTCTGGATTCTTGCTGTTCATTAGCCATTTCAAAGAACTGTGATCTGTTCTGACTAAAAACTGCTTGCCATACAAGTAGTGTTTGTAATACTTTGTGAAGTAGACAACAGCCAACAGCTCCTTTCTTGTGACGCAATATTTCCGTTCTGCTTTTGATAAGGTTCTGCTTCCAAAAGCAATTACTCTTTCTACTCCGTTTTGTGTCTGTGAAAGAACTGCCCCTATTGCTACGTCGCTAGCATCTGTATCCAAAATAAATGACTGTGTAAAGTCAGGATGGG